AGGCATTTCGTTCATTGTTGAAATTTTCCTTTGATGTCAATCAGAAAGGAACCTGATGGTGCCTTGTAAAATGTATGACCCCTTTTCATCTTTGTGTCTATAACATTTGTTCCTATTTATGCGAACAATAAATTTGGTGTGTTTCTATGTTCGGGATGCATTATTCTTGCTTAAGTTTTATATTGCTGCTGCTTTGATGGTGAGGAATAGAAATCTTGTCCCCATTTCTAATAAAGTTTACGGTGCTCCAAGCAATAGAGTCTCATGCGGATTCCTTTTATAGCTATTAATAACCTCTTAACTCTGAAAATTGGGTTTTAACGCAAGGTCCTAAGTATAGGTATTTGAGTGTTTAGGTAAGTATTTAGTTTACAAAGTTATGTTTAAAAGTTTTTATATCAAGTACTAAACACATTTCATACTTGTATTCGAAAGATAATTCACCCCTAACTGTTATTCCTAAGCCCAATTAACCGAGACTACTTTTAAACAAAACAAATTTATTTCAGACCCATTGGTTTCTAGCCTGCAGCGCGCTTAGTCTTAAAAGAAAATGGGTCTATTTTTCGACCAATAGTTTGGAGTAAAATATTGACTCTAAATCATAATTATATTCAATAGAGTTTAATTGATAATATAATAAATTTCTTTGCAATAAAATTCTTTAGAGAAAATATGTAAATAAAAATATTAATTTTGTAGTTTTTTCCATTTAATTATATTAATTTTATTAGTTTTTAAATAAAAATATTAATTTTTAATGTTTCAGTACAAGGATATTTATTCTTAACTTTTTTTTTTATTTAAGAATTAGTTGATTGGTGTATTGACATGTCAAATGGATGGATTTTTTTAGTAAGGTTAACATTTTTAAATAAAAAAATTAAAAATTAATATTTTTAAATAAAAGAATTAAAAATTAATATTTTTATTTAAAAATTAATAAAACTAACAACATTAAATGAAAAAATATAAAATTAGCATTTTTATTTACGTTTTTTCTCAAATTTCACCGTTACCAATACCATACCAATACGTAATATGTTTACCTGCCAAATTATTTGAGACACCTTTTTCTCATTTTGCTATGATAATGGACTCTTTTGGCTACCTCTATACTAGATAGATCGATAATTATCAATTATTATTAGAAATAACACAACAATATAGT